TGGACTTTGCTCCGTGACGGGGGCCGCTTGCAGCCCTGAATGCGCAGAGTGAGGAGGGGGGGGGGAGCGGTGCCAAAACCCAGCTTTGAAATGAAATTGGGCTAAACCTTGCAAATTTTAGTGGGTTTTGGGCTTGCAGGGAGGTCAGCTGAGCCCAAGGTGCCTTTCACCCCCACCGGTTTTCCCCGGCCACCCAGCCAAGGCAAACATGAGCTCAGCACTGAAGTATTTGCGGCAGCCGCTCCATGCCCACGTTTTGGAGGTGGGCAGGGGGGTGGCACTGACGGGAATGGCCTCACCAAGCCGTACCTTCCCCGGTTTCTCCTTGCCTTTCTTGCACCGTGGCTAAAATCCCTTGTCGCCAGAGGTGGTAGGACCCTTCAAGCCCTCCCTTTGATGACTCAAGCAGGCAACAAAACTAAGCAAGAAGGGGTGTTTAACCTGAGGTTGAGCTTTCTCACAGCCCAGCTGCAAACTTGGGAGAGCTGGAGCTGAGGGATGGAGTGGCCGTGACCAGCTGGGTTAGGTTGGGAAAGTGGTTTGGCACCCTCTGGGTGGAGAGCCTGGAAATTTCCTATATATGTTCCTCTAGCCAGGGCTTTTGGACAAGCCCTATGCTAGGAAAAACGGTGTTACAGGGGGGAAAAAGATAAATCTTTGTTTGCATGGTGTTTGAAAACACCAAAAGCTCAAATATTTGAGTTCTTCACAGCTTGTGCTTAATTTTTTTTAAGACAGTCATGGTTGTTGAACTGCTGGAAGAGGTGGGAGTTGGATGCACCCAGGCTAACGGGTGTTATTTTAACACAGGAGAAGTAACCACCGGGTGGGAGTCGGGCTGGGCCCTGGTATTGGGCAGAGCATCCCCTGGGAGCCCAGGTTTCACTGCAGGCATTCGTGCCTGGCTCCTCTTCCCAAACCCCACCTTTGGTCACATTTTTGTGTAGAAGGAGGCTTTATTTTAATTTCTTAATACCTCTCTAATAAATTGAGATGGAGGTAAATAGATCAAAATGTGCATTATCTGCACCTTCCCTCAATATCCCGTTGCGAGGGTGGGCAGCCTGTGATTTCTCTGCCTGTTCCAATATTGTTTGGAAAATCCCCCAGTGTTGCCCTGCCAAATTGTCAGAGAAATTGCAAGGAAAGTCCAGCAAACCCATTAAAAGTTTATGCTCACAGCAGAAATAACCTGGACATCATCTTCTGGGCACCGTGCAGGCACACAAACCCCATCATTTCCCACCATGGGAGGATTTGGACCCACTGCACAGACGTGAGCAAAAGGGAAAAAAAAAAAAAAGTTGTTTTCTTTTCTTTTGTTGTTTTTTTGGTTTTTTTTTTCAGATGAACATCAGTGTTTTAATAATATCAACAAAAATGCAGTCTGTGCACAGGGAGAGCTGCAGAGATGGATGGAGGGCAGCAGCGAGCAACTGCTTGGTCTAGGATGTACCTTATGGGATGCTGGCAATAAAGATGACTTAATGACGCCACTCTTAAAGCAACTCGTACTCCTCATTAGCGGCTTGGGGTGGAAACATGGTTTCCTTTCTCCCCGCAGGCATCCCATTCTGTGATGACCCAGCGTGCCTGAAGCCCGGCAGCCGCGGAGATGGAGCTGAAGGTCTGGGTGGATGGGATCCAGAGGGTTGTCTGCGGTGTCTCGGAGCAAACCACCTGCCAAGAAGTGGTCATCGCCTTGGCGCGGGCCATTGGTGAGCCATCTCCATCTGCTGGGGGGGGGATGCCCCTTTGCGGATGGAGGCATCTGCTGAGGGGATGGCCCCATCTGCAGGTGCTTCTTGGGGAGAGGAGACCTTGGGTGGGTGGGGGTCCTGCTCTGGGGTAGTGGGGAAGTCACCAACTGCTGCCTGTGGGGCAGCAGCTCTGGCACACCACTGCCAGCCTTGGCTTTCCCCATCTGACGTGCTCCCCTCCTCCCGGCAGGTCAGACGGGCCGCTACGTGCTGGTACAGAAGCTGCGGGAGAAAGAGCGGCAGGGGCGGGCCCTGACCCTCCTCAGAGGGCATTCCCCAAGCCCCTGAGAGGACGTTCATCAGGGCCAGCTTGCCCATCAAGCCCAGGCCCACTGGCACAGATGCACCCCGTTCCTGGGAGCCAAAAAAATCCATGACCTTCAACTTGGGTCCTACAGGCTCTGGCGAACCGTTCACCGTGAGCCGCTGGAGGCACCAAGCGCGGGAAGGGATGGACTTGGAGGGTGGTGGGGTTGTCCAGCCCTCCAAGGAGGAGCTGTTTAGGAGGGTGCTGCGGCAGCAGGAGCAGCTACATTCGTTGGAGGCCCACGGGGACACCCTGGAGATGGACCTACGGCTCTGGGAGCGTGGCCGGCTCGCTGGCCAGGAGGACGAGATCCTCTACCTGGAGCACTTGGTGCGGAGGAATGAGACGGAGCTGGGCGAGGAGGAGTTTTGGCAGAGCGAGCTCCGGCTGGAGAAGGAGTGCGAACGGGAGCGGCAGGAGCGGGTTAGGAGCCTGCGGGCCAGCCTGGAGGAGTACACCCAGCGGATATACGAGCTGAGTGCTCGGACTGAAGCCCTGCAGGAGGAGATCCAGTGGGAAATGGCTGAGAGGGCCAAGAGGGGGAAGGAGACCCCTGTGCCCAGCCCCACAGAGCTGGAGGACATGGCTGCCAAGATGAAAAGGGACCTGGAGGCCAAGGTCAAGCAAGGCACCCAGCTGGAGAGCAACCTGGCCAGCGTGGAGAAGGCCCTGGAGGAAGCTGAAAGGAACCTACAGGTAGATAGGATCAGGTTGAGCAGCCCCATGGGGTGGTGGGACTTTTGAAGAGGGGGTGCGGGACCAGCTTTCCAGCAGCATGGGGCCAATGGGTTGAGTGGGGTTGGTTCTGCCCCACCTGGCCGGTGAGTGTGGGGCTGGGTGCACAGCAGTGGCTCAGCAGCAGTGACCCCTGTCGGGGGGATGTCACCCCTCTGACCCAGCTAGCCCAGGCTCCCGCACCATCGTGCTCTCCGCAAGCTGTGTCTGGGCTGGGGCTCCTGCTGGCTGGTGCATGAGGAGCACAGCATCACCCTGCTCTGGCATGGACGATGATGGTAGAGCAAATGGTCCGTGTGCGGCGTTGATGGCATTGGCACAAGGGTTGATGGATAAAGGAGTCGTGGAGGGGGATAGTGCAGGTCCTCATGGTGCCTGTGCATGAAGCCTTTTGACCATGCAAGCGGTGCAGGGGCTTGGGCTAATCG